GCTCATGAAAAGTGTTTGTGATGAGTGCTGAAGACATTTGGTTTTTGTTTCCCAGTGTTTGGCTAGGAAAGTTCAACAAAAATGTGTTTTTATTTCAAAAATATACTTTATTCATTTTTTAAAAAACTCTACATATACATTGTCACAAATGCAGTTTAGTTCTGTACAGTTGCATATCAAGTAAACAAACAAAACATTTGACTCTATCCAAAAAATGAAGAACTCTTGTAAATATTAATATTGTATGTATATGTATTTGAGACACTGGGAGGTCCAATAACTGAACAGACCCCCATTTACCTTCAGGAAGATCTCAGACAGTGGCTTTTCTCCCCTGTGCCTTGGCGGCAGTCGGCCCAAGCTTTAGTGCATCCTTTAGAGTGTAGTCCTGGATCTTGGAATGTGCCAGTCTGCAGCACTCAGTTGGGATCAACTCCTTGGTACTGAAAGAGCAACTAGTTTCGGGCAGACCAAAGAGCGTCACTCACCAAGTTGGTGGTCCTCCAGGTGCAGCTGATTTGACTCGGTTTGTGTACTGCGGTACAGACCATTGAACACAGCATCACGGAGCTGCTTGGGACAAACCTCTACACAAATCACTGCATCTTTCTCCAGATTCCTTTTGTAAAGGCGCATCCCAGAAGGAGATGCGTGATGGTGTCAACCGCCCCCCCCGCCTTTCCTCGAGGGTAGCGTGCAGTAGCGCAGATTGATCGGGCATACATAACGGATCTCATGGGTAGTTCCCTTCTCACTACCAGCCAAACGATGTCTTGGTGCTTGTTAGAAATTTCTGATGAGACATTCTGCCAAATGACTCCTGACAGTCAGCTCAGGGAACCACATGACAGGATCCACCTTCTACTTTTTCCCTTAGGGTTTCAAGGACCCTAAATGCTGACCACTTCCTGATGGACTGGTGGTCAAAGGTGTTCTTCTTCACAAATTTCTCTACAAAGAACAGGTGATACAGAACAGTCCAACCGCTTGGCCAGTCCCATCCTTAGCAATGCTGAGGACAGGTAGAACCTGTACATAGTTGGTGTTTGTGTACCAAGGGTCCACACCGCTTGATGCAGCTGCTTGCAAAGGTGGTCATCAGGATGAGGGCAATGTTGGGTATATTCATCATCCCCCTTATCCACGTTTTTGTACATGGAGTCCCTGCAGATGTGGTGTATCTTATGCTTCCAGATGAAATGGAAGATGGCTTGGGTGACTGAAACAGTGCAGTTTTGGGGGATGGGCCATACCTGCACCACGTACAACAACAGAGTGCCTCACACCTGATGATGACAAGGTTTTTACCTGCAATGGAGAGGGAGCCGTGCTCCCAAAAGACCAGTTTATGCTTCGTTTTGATGACTTGCGTGCCCCGGCCTCTGAACCATATTCCCAGCACCTTCAGCTGATGGTGAAGGGAGCGAAGGATCGGTTGACCTAGTTCCCAAAGAACGTGCGCTCTCTTTACCTCTGCTCCAGAGGCCAGCTCAAACTGGTCGCAGATGCTCGTGAGTCTGCACATTGACTGCAGATCCAAGCAGAAAATGGCGATGTCATCCATGTACAGGGAGCTTTGAACTGCAGGCGTCTGCCTGGAAAAGTCACCCCTCTCAGGCTCGCATCTTTCCAGATGGATGCAAATGGCTCTATACAATATACAAGGTAGGAGAAAGTGGGCAGCCCTACCTTACTCCAGATCTGATCAGGAAGCTCTGATTCCCAACCATTTATTGAGACTGCACTAGCGATGTTGGTATAGAGCAGTTTGATCTGATTGCACATTCCCTCTCCAAACCCCATTTTGGAGAGCAGCCAGCACCCAAGCCCTGCTGTCCTGCACATAGGCAATCATATTCCTGAGGAGCGTGAGGCTCTCAGATTGTCTTGCCCGGTACAGCACATGTTTGGTTGGGGTGAATCACCAATCCCAGAGCAGACCTGACCCAGTTGACCTTGGACAGGATTTTGCAGTTTGCATTCAGGAATGATGTGGTTGCCAATTTCCAGTTTCCTCCCTTTTTTCCCCCTTCCACTTGTAGATGAGGGTGATGGTACCTTTCCTCATGGATTCGCTCATGGTACTTGCCAGAAGCAGACTGTTGTATGCCTCCAGCAGGTCATTGCCAATCAAGTCCCACAGAGCCAAATAAACTTGGCTGATTCGGACAATGTGTCTGACGGCTCATCTACTGTTGGTGTACTAAGCAAAGTTATGGAGAGATTGGCCTGTCTTCACATATTTAAGTTGCCCCCACCTCCCCTATTCATGGTGTCAAATGATACAAGGCAGCATGCAGATGAGGAAGAGAAGGGGCCAGCGATTGGTCCACCAAGAAAATAGGATAAACTTTACTGAACTTGCAAGCTTTTCCTTGCCTGTGCCAGCCCTGGCTCAGTGGTACTTTCAGTTCCAAGTTTCCTCTGCAGTTTTTGAACACCAAACCCAAGGCAGAAACTGCAATGCAGTACTAGGAAGTGCTGCATTGATCTCTGGTCTCTTTTTTTGGAATGAGACATTAAACCAAGGCCCTTTCTGCTTGCTTAGGTGTAAAAGATCCCATGGCAATGTTTGGGCAATAGGGAAACTATACCTCGTGACCTGGCCAATGTTTATCCTGCAATCAACATCCCAAAAAAATTTAATAAATCTTGTTGTCTCAGCAATGTGTACAGCTGGGATGAACACAGCAGGCCAAGCAGCATCAGAGGAGCGGGAAAGCCGACACTTCGGGTCTGGACCCTTCTTCAGAAACCCATTTCTGAAGAAGGGTCCAGACCCGAAGCGTCGGCTTTCCTGCTCCTCATGCTGCTTGGCGTGCTGTGTTCATCCAGCTCTACACCTTGTTGTCTCAGATTCTCCAGCATCGGCAGTTCCTACTATCTCTAATAAATATTGCTGTTTTGAATTTGCTGTTTGCATGATGACATGTTTTTCCTACATTATAGCACTGGCAATATTTCAAAAGTACTTCATTGGCTGTAAAGCACTTTGAGACATGAAAAGCACTTTTTCAACACAAACATTTTTAAATTCATGTTTGTGTAAATTGAGTAGACTGGATAGAAGCCTTCATTGCTTCTCTTTATATGTTGCTTTGGATCCATTCTTTTTGCAAATTCAGTTCCTTGATTATAAAGATGCCATGAAAAACTTTTTCAAAAGAAATCCTTCATTTCTTAGGTTAATTACCGTTCTGTTAGCATGGGAAATAACATTCAGACAACAAGCTAACAGTGCACTTCAGCCAGAATCTAAAAAGGACAGTACAGGGACCAAATCTGAATTTCTACATTTTCAGCAAGAAAGATATGCCGCATTTCAGGCAATTAGCTTTACAAGTTGGTTGTGAGTATCAGAGATAAATAAATCATTGCCTTTGTTCTTGGAATGTGGATAACATTTGCATGTCACATTTTTGCCTATTACTTTTTGCTTTCTAACCATGGAGCAAAGTCCATGGTGTGGAAGTGGAGCTCGATTTAAGGTAGACAGCATAGGATGGCAGCTACTCTTCCCTTGAACAACATTATTGCAACAACTAGCATTTTATGTTGCAAATTTGTGATCAACTTCCCCAAGGTATTAAGCTAGGTGACCAAAAAAGTTGGTCAAAGAAGTAGGTTTTTGCAAAATATCTGAAGGTGGCGAGGTTTAGGAAAGGAAGTCCAGAATTTAGCAATGAAGGCACCAGTGATGGAGTGAGTACAATTAGGACTCTAATTGGTAGTAAACCAGTTGGAATTGTAAAACCAACCTGAACTTTCATGGTTACCTTCCTTCGGACTAATCCTCAATTTATTAGGTATATTGAATTTAATTTAATCATTCTTGATTGGTTTTGACAATTCCTAGATATTTCCTGCTTTATTTGGGTGACTAGTTGTAATGTGTAATTTCATTGTTTTTAAAAATAATTGGATAACACGGCAGAGTTGCATGGGTTACACGTTTCTGCACACATCCGTACTGTTTCATGGTTCTTTGTCCCACTGGGACAGTGCAAGAGTTCAAGGTCAGTTTGCCTGGGATCTGCTATCTTACACTAGTTTACAGACTGCAATGTTAGAGGCCCTGAAAAAGGTCACCTGACTTCTTAATCAGGAGGGAAGGGCACAACCGGGAATAGCCCAAATCTGATTGCTAACTCAAACTGCAGCGCAATGATGTGCAGAACAGGTATCTGCTTGTTTTTGTCATCTTGTTCCTCCCTCCTGGTCAGTGTGCAAATAAACTCATTCTTGTGGTTACGGGGTTGAGGGGGAATTTCCCAAGTTCACTAAGACCCAGTCAGACCACTGCTTCTCTTCCAGTAAAATGATGCAATACATTGAGCAATCAAGGAAATGAAGATGTTTCTGTTCAAACTTTCATAATACATGAATTGTCTACTGTTTCCTTTTAGCTGTAAATGGCAAAACTTGCATTAGAGTATTACCTTACCTAATGAGGAATGCATGCAGGTGAACTACAACTAGCGTATTTTTCATTGATATGCTTTCTTTTGTTCATGTTAAAATACCAGATTTATATTTAATATACATTTTAACATTTCCAATTTTACGCAACACAGGATGGTCTTCATTTTTTTTGTAAAATTGTAGTGAAGTTAAAACAGGAACCAATTATTGCAGTGCCTACAGGACTGTTTAATAGGAAAAAGATGCAGAAATAACAGACATTCAGGCTTTCTAATTTTGTTCAGCAGCGAATACCTTGCCTTAGTTGAAACAATTGTTAGTAGTGTCATTTTGAACTTAGAGTGGGTGGGTGTGATATGAAATGGTTAATCATTTCCACCTAACCATCAGATTAATATATTCATAACCAACCCCCGGTGTATTTGTGTGTAGTCTTGTATCTTTGACCCTAGTGCATTTGTGTGTTTTCCAGCAACACTTTTTAAGTATAAAGTATTAATAGTAAATTTTAATGTTAATCTTTAGTATTAAATTACTATTACTATTAATTTGGCTTGCGATTTGCGTTTTTTAAACAGAACATTGATTTAATTGACATCCTGTGGAGGCAGGACATAGATCTCGGTGTTGTTCGTGAAGATTTTGATTATAACTACAGACAAAAGGAATATGAGCTAGAGAAGCAGAAGAAACTTGAGAAGGAAAAGCAGGAACAGTTGCAGAAAGAACAAGAGAAGGCTTTACTGGCACACCTGCAGCTAGATGAAGAAACGGGTGAATTTGTTGCCATTCGGCCAGCCAAGCACAGTGAACCTGAAATCTCAGGAGGAATTACAGAGCCTACACAGGTACAAAGACTTTAACAGCTCTGCATGAAGCACAGCTGAATTCTGAGGACCACGTATTGCTGTTTGCTAGATCTTTATGAAAAATAACTCAAATACATCTAATTTTAATCTCCAAATATATGCAAAAACCTCATTAAACTTTACTGTTCTTCTCTCCCCAATGTTATAAAAAATTTTTGGTTGCCAACCAATTTTCAACGTAGACTGTAAAGACGACGGAGAGAGATGATGGAGCTTTGTCATTTGATGAATGTATGCAGCTTCTTGCAGAGTCATTTCCATTTGTAAATGATATAGAGGTAAGCCCTTTTATTGTTTGTCCTACCATCTAACTGAAGATCCTAGAAAGGTGCTGTTTGCTGGGTTAACTATATTTGAAATTTTGAAAATATTGCTCCCTGTGGCTAAGATTTTAGATATCTTGTAAGAACAAACATTCATTTACAATTTGGATCTTGTTAAATTTACTATGTTGGCTGTCTGGTGAATTTTGTAAAACTTGGTTTTAAACAATCAAACTATGGCCAGATTGAAGTGTTATTGTCTATTTTAACTGTTTCAATCATCATGACTGAAAGCAGTGTGGAAGCTTTTATATGGAAATGTAACCATACTGATTCAGGGAACCTAAATTGTTCCTTTTTAAGATTTTTGCAACATAACTCAGGAAATGCGGTAAAGGCCAGACAGCAGAAAAGTGCTCTCTTCAAATTAAAACAAATTTGTTTCTAGTCTCGTCCAGTTGCCCTTGAACCTCCTGTTCCGGCCCGGACCAGTCCACAGCCAATGTCTCCTCATCAGGCACAGCAAGGAACTACTGCAATCCTTCCATCCACAGCACCTGAATCAAACCCTCTGCAGGACTTGGAGCAAACCTGGCAAGAGCTGCTTTCAATCCCAGAACTTCAGGTAAATACAATAGCTGAATTCAGAAGGAGCATGCATGTAACAAACACCCAAAGAATTCAGACCTGTAATACCATTTGTTCACAGAACAAGACAGTCATTGTCTCTTACAATATTAATCTGACATCAAGATCCAGCTCCGTTTACGTTTTTCTTCAAATGCATATTATGTGACCTTAATTTGTGTGTGTGTGTGCGCGCTTAAATGCAGATAAGTAGACATTTTAAACAATAAAAGCTTTCATCCTGCAGAGTGTCTACATTTGATTTGCAGGATTTAATCGTAGCATATACTACTATTTGAGTACAATTATTGCATTTTAGACAATGTTGGGGGCCAAGCTGGGGTGAAATAATTATATATAAATTTTTCTCTAATCTACAGAAGCTACATTTTGTTTTGAAAATTGGGCTGTCATTAACATGTATGGCCTAGTCTCAATGGGTATAATTATTTATAGGGGTAGGAATGTAAGAGAATGAGACTTTTTCAGCTTAATGTTTAGTCTTTCTTAATTATGAATTTTTAGTGTTAGAAGCAGGTCCCTGGGCAATTCTAAAATACTCAAGCAATTTGCCAGCATATCTAATGCACTAAAATAACATTGACCACCAGCTTTCAGAGGCTTTTCTCTTTCTTAATACATTGTCAAAAGATCATGCTGCATAGAAAACTTTTATACTCCTCCTTCATATCAACAATATCAAACACATGTGTCTTAACATTTATTAACTTCCTATCTTTAACTAATAAATGGGACACATTTTGAGAATTGTTTGTTTGTTTATGGCACTGTGCTTTTAATTAGAACGGCTATTTAACTGAAGAGCTAATTAGAGTTTTTCATTTCATTTTGCTTGAGGTAAATGTAGCTGGCTAGGTATTCAACCTCTATCTTCTGCTGACTTTTTGAATAGATCAATCCTGACCTACTTAAAACCATTTTCTGCACGATCTTGCATAGAAATGGCAGCATAGAAACGGCTTATTCAATCCTGTACTAATTTTGATGCTTCATATGAACTACTTCCCACAACTTTTCCTCCAGTCCCATTAGGATGAATATCAAGCCTTTTTCTCCTTCATATTTTTGTGTAATTTACCCTTACTTCATCAATTTACATGTATTACATGAGTTGTGCAATGTAACTACTCTCTTAGTAAAGAAATTTCTCTTTACTTCATTTTTAGCTACTATGTTGTATATGCGGCCACAAGATTTGGTTAAGTGAAATTTCTCCACGTCTGTCTTGTTAAACCCTTTCATAACTCTTACACCCTTCAGTACTTTTTCTTTTAAACTAAGTGATTAAGGTATTTATTTTCTTCATGATGTGTTTGTGCTCTTTCTGAATAGTGTTTGTACATGCAGAATGACGATATTACAAGTATTGGATCCACAGAATATTCTTCCAAAAGTAAATCTTCTGAGATGCAAAATGACAGCTACAGCCTCAGTACAACTCTGTCAGCTGATCATGTGTCAGGCAGCAACACCAGTTTTCTCTCTCTCTTTGATGGTCCATATGAGGAAGTAATGCCATCTGAAAGTCCCACACTTTTTCAGCCTAAAACAAATCTGTCAGATGGCATGAACCTTTCATTCAGCAATAATCATTTCAGTGACCTGCTTTTCTCTACGTCTCTGAATATGCAGAGAAACAGCAACATTTCCCAAAGTAACGATATGAATGACTCACTCACTGGCATTCTAGATGATTCTCTTCTTGAACAAATCAATATCGCTCAGTTGGAGGTGAATAAAGATTTTGATTGTAATCAGCCACAAAATTTGCCTGAGGTTCCGGATTCTGACTCTGGCTTGTCTATGGGCTCAAGCCCTGGTGGATCCTCTCCAGGTAATTCAATGCAGTCATCTGTTTGTGGAGATGCTTCTAATGGTTATAGTGATTCTGACACAGATGACATGGAAAGCTGTTCTAGGAGTGTTCAGCCTGAATTTGGTGAATTGTACCCAGTACAGTTTCAAAGTGACTGTAACTATCAGGCACCCTCTCTTCACAGCCTTACAAAGTCAAATGCTAGACAGAACCTTTACAACAAAGGACCAAAGGATGACCTGCCAGTGAGTCCTGGGCACAATAAAGTCCCATTCACCAAAGATAAGCATTCAAAACGATCGGAAGCTCGACTCTCCAGGGACGAGCAGAGGGCTAAAGCACTGAATGTTCCTTTCTCTGTGAAAAAGATTGTCAACCTTCCTGTTGATGATTTCAATGAAATGGTGTCCAAGTATCAGCTCGGCGAGGCCCAGCTTGCTCTTATCCGTGACATCCGTCGCCGTGGCAAAAACAAGGTGGCTGCCCAGAATTGCCGCAAGCGCAAACTAGAAAATATATTGGGTCTTGAACAAGATCTGGATCTACTTAAAGATGAGAAGGAGGAGCTTCTGCAAGAAAAGGGAGAACATACCAAAAACCTCCTCCAGATCAAGCAACAGTTGAACAATCTATATCATGAGGTCTTTAGTATGCTACGAGATGAAGATGGAAATTCGTATTCTCCCAATGAATACTCATTGCAGCAGACCAGTGATGGCAGTGTATTCCTTGTTCCCAGGAGCAAGAAACTTGAGATAAAAAAAGAATGAAATGTCAAAAGATCTGTTTTGTTGGACTTTTTTTAAAATAATAGAAAACTGAAACTCTTATGAATTGCAAGTTTGAGTTTTCCTTTTTCATGTTATTGAGTCTCCTATGCAAAAGAAAACTAACTGAAGCTATTTTTTAAATTGCTATTAGTGGCTTAGAGATGAAACAATGGCAAAGACTGCGAATTGACTGTAAATTCTCCTACATTTTGCCAGTGCTTTTATTTTGATTATTTCTCTATTGCTTATCACACCTTTTTTCTATTAGTGTGCCTGTATAGATTTGTAAATACTGCACATTTTATTTATATATGCAGATCTCATTTGCTATTAAAATGAAAATATTTCATAGAATTAAAGATTGTATTTTAGTAAGCTATGTCTCTTCTGTTGCAAGTACAGTACTTGTTTTATAACCTTGTTAAAAATGGATAAATGAGAGAATTGAAAATGTATTATGATTTTTCATTTTCTTTGCTTAGAAAAAATAAATAAATGTAACTGTCTTTATGCACTGCAAGTGTTGGTTTGTTATGCAAGTAACTTCAATATTTATACAACTATAATCTAACATAAAAAGGATCTATTTAGTTGATTTTGTTAGCTGATCTCCTGAATACCACTTTATTGTAGATGAATAGTCCATAAGTATTTCCTTGCGTCCTTTCTCTGGTCTGCACCGTTTGCTGTAGTGCTCCAGAGTTGTTTTAAGTTGACTGGACAATCACTGGGAAACAGCCTGTACTTTGTACAAATTATTCAAGAACTGAGAAGAGAGACTTATTGAAAGTTCTGAGTAGGTTATGTTCCCAGTGCTTGTTTGAACTTTGCAGATAATCAGTATCTTGGAAATATTTTTATAAGTCACTTTGCAGACAGGTTTCTGGAAACTAAATAACAACATGGACTACCTCCAAAGGAAGTCCTGTTTAAGATCAAAACTGGCTCCCAAAGGACTGACGGAGAGAGAA